GTATGTGGTGCTGAGGATCGAACCTGGGCCGCACGCATGCCAGGCGAGCGCGCTACCGCTTGAGCCACATCCCCAGCCCATACATATTATCCTGATAGTAATAATTCCAGTTCCCCAAACTGTGAAATTTTACAGTACAAAGGGTGTTTTTTCAGATTTTTTTTTCATGCCCTAGTAAGTCTCTCTCTTCTTTAATTCCATGCTCATCCTCATAAAACAAACCTGATTTATTAATAATCTGGCTTCCTTTGTATCCTGAATAGAGAAGGGGGTATTCTGGGCAGTGAATATCAGTATTTTGAAAAATAGAAAAATAAATCCTGTCATAAGTTAATAAATAAGCATTCTGATTTCCATGCTAATTTACCGAGATTTGGTTAGTATGCCAGCTGATGAAAATTCTTAAAAGCCTTACTTGCATTTGTTTTTTCTTTCTTTCTTTTCCTTTTCTGTGTATGTATTGTTGGGTATCAAACTCAGGGCCTCAAACATGCACTAAGAAAGTACTCTACTAATAAGCCACATTTCCTGGCCCCAAATTTTTGAACCTGTACAACTGAGATAAGTTCAAAGGGAAGCCATGGTTATAAAAACAAAACATTAGTAGTAGCCCAGGTAAAGAGAGGCCCTTAAGAGCCACCTGGAATCCCTCTATATCATGTTCATGTCTTTAATGACAATATCACTTAAAAGAATATATTTCAAACAAGAATATGATTGCCTTGGGGCTTTAAATAAGACCCCTTAATTTCCAGACTGAAAAATTGCAATTCACTTTTTTTTTAAATTTTTTTTAGATGTTGACAGACCTTTATTTTATTTATTTATTTTTATGTGGTGTTGAGGATTGAACCCAGTGCCTCACACAACCTAGGTAAGCACTCTACCACTGAGCCACAACCCCAGCTCCCATTTCTGACATTTTGATATCCATAATCTCATGTGATCCTTACAACAAAACTTATGAAAGGGGCTGTGCTGTGGCTCAGCAGCAGAGCTCTTGCCTAGCATATGCAAGGCCCTGGGTTCGATCCCCAGCATCACATTAAAAATAAACAAATAAAATAAAGGTATTGTGGGCTGGGGATGTGGCTCAAGCGGTAGCGCGCTCGCCTGGCATGCGTGCGGCCCGAGTTCGATCCTCAGC